GCGTCGTCGGGCAAGGGCGCGGCGCTGGAGGACCGCCGGCGCCTCTACCTGCAGGGCGCGCTCCGCGCCGCGCTCGAGGCGAAGGGCTTCCGCTGGGTCGAGAGCTTCGCATTCTCAGACGAGGGCGAGCTCAAGGGCAAGGAGTCGAAGATGGCTACCCTGAGATCCTGGCGTTGCAATCTGTCACAACGGGCGTAGTCGCCCAGTGTCGCGCCCCGGGGCCCTCACAGATCGATCGGGCTTGCAAGCGACGCAGGAAAATGGCGTCCGGGACTCTGGTGGCGACTCTTTGCGACGATGCAGTTTTTGCAACGTCACACCTGAGGGGAGGCTCTGGGCTGCGCGCAGACAGCTCCCCCGGGTAGTCCCGGCTGGCCTCGACGTGCCCGCGGAGCAGTCCCAGCTGGCCTGAACAGGCCCCCCGACTAGCCCGGGGCGGTCTCAGCACCCTGGCGCCGCATCCCGCGGCGCCCCTGGGGCGCTCCGCGCCCAAGGGTTGGGGCGTCGAGGCCGCCCCGGACTGCCAGGGGGGCCTGTTGAGCTCAGCTGTGACTGCTCGGGTGGGGGGGCTGCTGAGGCCAGGCGGGGCCACCCCTCGGGGCCGTCTGCCCGCAACCGGAAGAAGCATCACTGGTCGCAGAAGCAGCAACGACGCAACCATGCGCCGTTTCAGGAGGAAAAGAAAAACACAGACACAATGAATCCTCGATTCCCTAGAAAATATGGGAAAATATGGGAAGTGGGGGGAAGACAAAAACCCCCGAAACTATGGGAAAATATGGGGATTTGTTTTATTTTATTTGTGTGTCCTGGGGCCCCTTCACTGTTGGAGCTCTGCGCGGAGTCTCCGGGCTCCACGCCGGGCCGCTTTTTGGCGGCGCCTTCGGCAAAAAAAGCCCCCCGGCGGCGCTCCGCGCGCCGGGGCGGGGGGTCCCATCGGACGGGGCTGGGACGAGGAAAAATCCGTTCCAGAGCGTCCTGGAACGCTTCGAGAAGGCCGCCGAGACGTCCCCCGAATCCGTCGGATCTCAGAGAGTCTCGATGTATTCTACCCGGTGTTCTCCTCGTCCTGGCTTCGTCTTTCGGGGGCGGAAGCGAGGGGGGTGATGACTACAGTGGGGGTGGACATCATGGCGGGGGCCATGATATTTCCCCAGATTTCATGGCGCCTCTTCTTGTTTCATTACGTCCCTGGCCCCCCCGCTGGGCCGCGCACATGCCGCCGGTCATGATTTGCACCCCCCCCCTCTTGGACACCCCCCTCTTGGCCGCTCCCGAGTCTTGTCCCAGTGCCAAGATCCGTGCGGATCTCCGAAACAGTTTGCGTTCGTGCCGTTGTCTTCCTCCTCGCAAGGAGGCCTGGGTCGTGGCGCTGGGGCCTCGGAGCCTGGAGCAGGCGGCGGAGGCGGAGGAGCCCAGGGCGCGAGCCAACCGGCGTGTTCCAGGAGGGAACGAACACACAGACACAAAGTATCGTCGATTGCCCAGAGCACAGGGGAAAATATGGGAACAAACTTTTTTGGTCGAGGGGGCGAGAGCGAACCTCTTCCGCTAAAAGCTAGGCGGGCTACGCGCAGCTCAAATTGGGGAGACAGGGCACAGGCGGGCGGGGCCTCAGGCGGCCCGAGGGGGCGTGGCCCGGGGTGCCGGCGGTGCCGAGGAGCTTGCACAGGAAAAGGTACGCCGCGGACAGGGACCGGAGGCGAAGATCCGGAGGGTGAGCGATGTGGTGTTGCCGGCAACGGCACGTCGTGAACAGGAGGGATCGAACACTCAGACACGAAGTATCGCCGATTGCCCAGAGCACGGGGGAAAAGATGGGAAGTGGGGGGGTAGACGACACTCTCAATAGTATCAAAAAAGGTTGGGGAACCTGGGGCGGGTGTCTATTTGTATTCGTGTGTCCCTGGGCCCCTTCAGTTTTGGCGGTTTCGTGGACCGCCTCAAGGCGGAACAAGGACAGAACGAGGGAGCACAAAGACAAAACGAAAACGGAACACACTGCAGCTCGAGCTCCGCGGAGGAGTCCCTGCGGACCTGCACGCGGCAGGCCGACTTCGGCGACGGCGAGGTCCGCGAGGTCAAGCACTGGAGGGCATACACCACGCAGCAGGGCCCAGCCAGCTTCGACCCCGCGGAGGCCCTTGCCCTCGAAACGGCGTGGGCGTACAGCCCGAAGACGAACAATGCTGCGCAGTTCAGCATAAACTTTCGGCCTTCTCCCTCCTTCCTCCTCCTCCCCCTCCTCCTCTTCTTCCTCCTCCACCTGCTCCTCCTCCTACTCCTCCTCCTCCTCCTCCTCCTCCTTTTCCTCCTTTTCCTCCTCCTCCTCCTCCTCCTCCTCCTCCTCATCATCCTCATCCTCCATTCCTTTTCCTTATACATGATCTCTCCCTGCCGCATCCCGAGGCATGTTTTTAGGGCGGGCCGGGCGTTTCGCTTGAGACTTCCTCACCACTCATGATTCTGGAATCTAGAAATGGCAACAGTTTCACAGATGGAGGTTGGGTCGTTTTCAACATGTGGCTCTCGCCTTGGCGCGGCGCGCATTCGTTAAAAACATTTGCAAAGAGCATCACGTATTGAGAGCGGGTGGTTCCAACATGTGGCACTCGCCTTAGCGCGGCGCACATTCGTTTTCAAACTTCGCAAAGAGTTTCACGGACTGAGGGCGGTTCCATTCCAAGACGTGGATCTCGTTCTAGCGTGGCGCACATTATTTCAGACATGTTGCAAGAGTTTCACGGGTTGTGGGCGGTTCTCTTTCAATATGTGGTTCTCGCCTTCGCGGTGCAGATTCGTTTCACAATTTTGCTAGAGCTTCACATATTCAGGGCGGTTCTTTTTCATCATGTGGCTCTCGCCTTCGCGCGGCGCACATTCGTTTTAAACATCGGCAAGAGTTCCACGGATTCCCATTCTCAACGTGCCAGAAATAGTTGCTTGAAAGAATTTTGGATTACGCGGGTGCAGCAGTTATGTTGAGTCGCTGTGTCCCAGGAACGAAATTCTGGCACGATTCGGGGTTGACAAGACGCAACAGTCAAGTCGATCCATGGCGTCGGAATCCCGAGAACAATGTTTTGGCATGCTTCGGGGTCTTCAATCGGTTGCCGTCCAAAGAGGCAGTTCCTTCAATGGAAATAGACAGTTGTAGGGGCCCATGGAGAGGGAGCTTGGAGGGAGGGTTTATTCCAACATTGTTGATGGCCCTTGGGTTTACACTGGTCCTCCTTCACCTCCTCCTCCTCCATCAGCCCCGCGAGGGTTTCCTGGATCGGCGCTGGACCCCCCGCCCTGGCGCACGGAGCGCGCCGGGGGCGTCTTCGCCAGTGGCGCCGCCGGGGGGCCCCCCGCGCTGGTCCGAAGGAGCCGCGCGGAGCTCCGAAAGTTTAACGTTCGTGCCGCTCTGTCGTCATCGGACCAGCGCCCTCTTGCCGCGGGGCTGGGAGGCCCCCGGCGGCGGCGGCGAGGAGTTCGCCGCCCTGCGGCTGCTGGGCGGCTGCAGCTCGGTGCTGGCCCTGAGCGAGGCGGCTGGCGCCGTGGAGCAGGTGGGCTTCGGCAGCAGCTCGTGGGAGCCCGTGTGTGACCCTTCTCCTCCTCCTCCTCGTCCTCCTCCTCCTCCTCCTCCTCCTCCTCCTCCCGTGCTGCAGCGTCCATGCAGGAGGAGGCGCGTTCCCATCCACTGCCAGGTGCGAGTCGACGCCAGCGCGCCAGAAAGACATCATCACTGGAGGGGTACACGAGGCCCCGCCATGGGCCATAGGCCCAGCCATTTGATTTGATGATTTGCGACTGAGCGCCGCAGGCCCGCCCCGCCATAGGCCCCCGGAAACTCCCCGCTTGGCGCGCCGCCGAGGCAGCCGCACCAACCTTCCCGTGCTCGGTCGATGAGGAGGCGCCGATGTAGCGTCCAGCAGCGTGGATGTCTCGTCGATCGGCGTCGACCAGCGTCGATTCGCCTTAGCCAGACAGATGACGCGGGAGGAGCCCATGAGCTGCCACGGAAGGTGGTCGCCCTGCACGACCCCGCGCAGAACTTGGCGTTGCACCGCGAGTGGCCTGGGCTCCTCAGCCCGGAGGAGGGCCATGTCAAGACAGTGGCCCTAGGCCTCCTAGAAGGGAGCACAGTTAATGTGGTCGGAGGATCACGCCACATCGCCGATGCATCGGCGATGCAGCCCGACGCAGGGCCCGATGTCCTCCATGCCGGCGTCGCCGATGCACCGCCGACGCACCGCCGACGCACCGCCGATGCATCACCGATGTCTCGCCGCCGATTGCCTCGGCGATGCGGCGCGATCCTCCGACCCCGTCTGCTCGGACCCCCTCTGGGAGGCCGCTAACTAGCGGCGGCCGTCCCCGGCGTCCTGCGCCCTTCCAGGGGCCTCCTGAGGACCTCTCGCCGCCGCGGCCGACTCTCCGCCCCTCGTGTCGCGGGCCGGGCCCTGGGCCGCGACCCCGCGGGCGCGGAGCGTCTTGTCGCGGATGCCCCGCGCGATGCGCGGCCGTGCGGCCGTGCGTCCGCGGGACCGCCCCCAGAGTCCAGACCGCGAGGGTGCGGGTACGGACACGGTCGCCGCTCGTGGGCCTCTGTCCGCCACGGCCGGATCCGCCTCGAAGAACGGGTCGGTATGGACCCTGGGCGGGGCCCAGGGATCAGTTTTGTTTCACCGATCCTTATCCCTATCCCAATGCCACCAGAGCCTTAGGCGACAAAACAATTACATGCACATAAAAACTCGGAGGTCCTCGCGGATTCCTCGGATCGGCGTAGAGGCCCCCTGTCGGCCCCTCCGGCGTCGCCCCTGGCGCGCTCCGCTCGCCGGGGAGGGGGGTCGAGCGCCGATCCGAGAATCCGCGCGGACCTCCGAGTTTTATGCTTATGTCACATGTCGTTGCTTATATTCCCCCAAGCCCACCACCGCAGTTGGGGAACTGCCCCTCGAAACCCGAAGGGAACAGCCCATGCCGCCATCCAGGGGGGGGCAAGTCGGCCAGCGGGGCCCGGCCAGGCCAGCGGGGCAAGGGATTGGTTCGACGATGTTCGAGGGGCCGACTTTGAGCGGGAGTGGGCAAGGCCAGGGCGCTCGGCGGGAGGCCCGCCGCCGTCTCGGCCATGGCCCTCCTCCGGCCAGCCTCGCGAAGCCGCTGCCCCTGGAGGACGTGGTGAAGTACATGGGCATCAACGCCGCGCAGTACTTCCTCTTCCTGCAGGAGTTCTGGGCCTTCTTGTCCGCGCTGGGCGCTCTTGTGCCCACTTGCCCTGTTTCCGCGCTTGACTTGACCACAGCGCTATAAACGAAACGACACATTGGAATGTGGATGTCGGGTAGGCGGCATGGTGAGACTTCAAAACGCATTCGAAATGCATTGAAAGCGTAAGGAAAACGAGAAGGTGGGTCACGGGCCAATCCTAGACCTGAAAAAGTCACAAAAACGGCGCCCACGATTGAAACAGACAGTTGATCTCGAAAACGGAGAACAAAAACACCCCCCAGCGTTTATCAGATCAGCTAAGTTCCAGGCCTGCCACTTGGGTTCCAAGTAGATGGGTCGAATGCTCTCTCCGCGTCGCCGAGGCATCGCCGGTGCGGCTGGATGTGGAGCCCGATGTTCTCCGCCGGTGTCTCCCATGCGTCGCCGACGTCGCCGATGCATCGGCGACGCCGCCTGATTTGGAGCCCGATTGTCTCCGCCGACGTCGCCGATGCACTGCCGACGTCGCCGATGCACCGGTGATGCGGTGCGATCCTTTCAGGAGCGAAAGAAGGACGTACATGTACATGAATCCACGCTGGTTTCGAGAGTTCGCATTGCGCGAATGTTCGTATCGCGCGGCAGGTCTCGCGGGTCAAGGGGCCGTGTTCATGTACATAGCTGGGCGCGTACGTCCTTTGTGTGTTCCCTATCCTTCGACCCCGCCTGCTCCGACCCCGTCTGGGAGGCCCCTAGGAGTACACCACGTGGCTCGCGGTGCCCGCAGCCCTGGGCCTGGTGATCCACGTGGCGCACGCGGCCTCCGGCTCCCCGGAGTCCATCACCGCCTCGTCGGGCGCCAGCCTCTTCATGTTCTTCATGACGATCTGGAGCACCCTCTTCGTCGAGCACTGGAAGCGGAGGCGCTTCGCGCTGAACTACAAGTTCGGCTTCCACCAGGCCGGGGAGCGCGCGTACGACCCGGGAGCTCCCGCGAGCTTCCAGGTCGGCAGCGCCGCGATGGCCGAGGCGTTCAAGCCCGTCTGCGGGGGCCCCGAGGCTGCGACGAAGGCGGCGCGGAAGGCCCTGGAGCTTTCCAACTACTCGCAGAACCTGAGCACCCTGGTGGGCTCCACCGGCAAGTCCGACCCCGTCAGGACCAAGAATACTGTGGTGCTCCTCACGGTCAAGACCATCATTCCCATGGTGTTGCTGCTCGGAGTGGTCGGCGTGGTCATCCACTTGCTGCTGTGGATCGGGGACCTGGCCGAGAAGCGGTTCCAGAACGTCGTGATGCAGAACCTCCCCGTGCTCTTGTACCTCATCGTCGCAAACGTCCTTGAGAAGGTCTATCTGTCCATCGGCGCCAAGCTGACCGACTGGGAGGGACACCCGATACACACCCAGCACCTGAAATCCCTGACCGCGAAGGCAGCGTCGTTCCAGCTCGTGAACTACTTGGGCTGGTTCGTCTACGTGGCCTTCTGGATGATGGACATCGCCCTCCTCCAGTCACAGCTGTGGATGTTCATGACGGTCAAGCAGGTGATCGCACTGTCCATGGAGACGCTGGTCCCGATGGCCCAGCACCGCTGGAGCAGCAGACGGGAGGCACGCGTCGAGGCGAAGCGCAAGAAGGACGACGGCAATCGAATAGGTCCTTCATTCCCCAAGTAGGCTTGCCTTGAGGGCTCTTACTTGGTTAAAAGGTTGGTGCCTCGTATTCTTACGTTGCCCGTTGCCCCGAGGTTCCTCGGGTTCCCCGCCCCTGGTGCCTCGTATTCTTACGTTGCCCGTTCCCCGGAGGTTCCCAGGGCTCCTCGGGTTCCCCGCCCCTGGTGCCTCCTAATGTTGGGTTGCTAGCTTCTCGGAGGTTCCTCGGGTTGTTGGTTTTGTAACGTGACCTGGTTCCTCGGGTTCCCCGCTCTTGTTTCTCAGGTGCCCCAGCATTAGAAAGCAATGCCAAGCATCGCCAATCAACGCAAAGCAATGCCAACCGATGCAAAGCAACGCCTCGCAATGACAAGCAGTGCCCAGCAATGCCAAGCAAAGCCAAGCAATGCCAAGCAACACCAAGCAATGCCAAGCAACGCTAAGCAACGCCGCGCAATGTCAAGCGGTGCCAAGCAACGCCGCGCAATGTCGAGCAGCGCCAAGCAATGCCAAGCAACGCCAAGCAAAGCCAAGCAAAGCCATGCAAGGCCAAGCAATGCCAAGCAATGGCAATCAACGCCAAGCAATGCAAAGCAGTGTCAAGCAAGGCCACTCAATGTCAAGCAGTGCCAAACAATGCCAAGCAAC